GGGGGGGAAGGGCCCTCCTTTTGTGCGCGCCCGATCCGAGCGCCTCGCCAGCTGCGTATACTCTATTGCCAGGGCGGCAGCACAGCAGAGCCTCCTGCAGCCTCCTGCAGCCTTCTTGCAGCATCCTGCAGACGCGCCTATACCAACCCCGACCACCTTGCTTCCCCACCACTGCTAAATTATCATTTGCTTTGACTTCTGCCGGTCGCGACCATATAGAGACCACCCCGCGACCGCCCATGGGCCCATGCGCCAGATACAGAGAGAAACAGGACAGTAAGACAAAGGGATATCTCTCTCTCTCTCTCTCTCTCTCTCTCTCTCTCTCTGACGTCTTCGTTTTACAAATAATAACTTTACGCGGGGGGGAGGTTTCCTCTGGCAAACGCAGGAGCGCTTTTTCCCTCGACCTGCGCGGCGCACCACTTCCTCTGGCAGGGGGTTGAGGAGGGCTTTTGATTTGAGAGGGGAGAGGGGAGAGAGGGGAGAGGGGAGGGGGAGGCGGAGGCGGTGCAAGTCACGGCGACCAATAACCAACTTCCAGTAACTCTGTCGGAGCGGTAATTGAGAAGCAAGTGGGGGCCATAGGGCGAGTCACTCTGACTTAAGAGGCTCGCTTGGTCCAAACCAAATGAAGCAATGTGAAAAATATTATTTTCATTGCGAAATTCACCCTCAACTACTCGCCCAGCCACGCGAATTCACACTCAAAACCCATTAAAAATCAATAGACTTTATATTCCGTGTTGAGTTTGCGCACTTGACCGGTGCGGCAACCACCCCCGCGACTCTACACGAAAACAAACTGATAAACGATCTAGCTAAATCAATTACTTAGTTATGGGATAAATAATTATTTAGCTGCGACGCAGTTTAGACACAAGTTTAACTAAACTTCTAGCCACGTAGCTACAAATAGTTAAATTTTTACCTGCATGTCTCAATAATTATTTATTCTGTCTTTAGCCGTTGGTTAAGCTATACATAGCTAATCTCTTTTTCCGTGTCGTCGTCCAGCCAATCTAGAGGAGAGTTTGCTCGTTATATGACGCTCGCCCCGCAGCCCCCCCCCCCTTCTTCCCCTGTCGATGTACGCCCGGGTGCGCCCACAAAGGACTCATCTCTGGAAACGCCACGAGCAGCATGAGCAAGGCACGGTGCCCTCCCGTCGGCTAGATCCGCGCGATGGACGGGCGATACAGCCAGCTATTACAGTCTATAACGATTGCCCCGCCCGTTTTCGATTGCTGCAAGTTTCTTTATCCCCGCAACGAATTTGTCAGTGTTTCTATGGATGGCCCGAAACATATAAGACGGACGACGATGACTGTGAAAGGGTGAAAGGCGCTTGGTGAAGCCTTCTGGAGCAGCACATCTTTTTAAAAAGTTAAAGAAATTTTCTTTTAGGTCGTGCGCAAAATTACTTATTAGCTATAATATGTTAAAATAAACCTCGTGGCGCAGAATTAGCTTCATTATCAACCTGCTCCTAAAAATTACTCCATTTGCGGAAGAATACCGTGTACTCGTACTCGTGCACCCCGCGAGGTTCCCTCCCATTTTAAGCCAAAGGAAAACGAGGCTGCACGTAGCCAGCGAACGTTCACGTTCACATGCAGTGGGCGTCAGTCAAACGTGCATATGGGCGCGTAGGTACATCGACGTCATCGGGAGAGACCAGCGTGTTCTGCGAGGGACGGCGGTACGTAACCAGCAGAGCGCGAGCACAGCGACAACCTTCAAGCACGTGTAAAAACCTGCGGCTAGCTAGCTAGCTAGCTGCTTCATTAGAACCGCAGAGCAGGTCGTCGTCGTCGTGAGCGAGCACGGTGACGTGTTTGAAGGCGCGTAAGTAACCCGCGTGTCCAACACGACGCCTGGGTGTCGATTGCACGTGCACAGTCCGGACAGCGTGGGCCGCCTAATCAGTGACTTACCGTATCAGGTGACCCGCGGGGCGGGGCGGGGCGGGGCGGAACACCTTAAGGGTGCGCCGTGAGGTGAGGTGGGAAGGGGGGGGGGGAGCGATATCGGAGATCTTATCCCCCCTCACCTTCCATGGCATGGTGGGCAGCGAGTGGGGCTTGATAATCCTCCCTCGGCTAGCTCGTCTCTCTCTCTCTCCCTCTCTCACCGGAGCCCGGGGAGTGTCTCCTTCAATTATCTGTCCCTGAGCCGGCTGATCGCGTCGGGCCTGGGTGGGGCGGCTCTCCCGCGCTCTCCACTTGACAGGATGGGACGGGGCGCCGCCGCCGGGGGGACCTCCTGGGAGTGGCGGGACGGGGGCGATGGACATGGACAGACAGGACCCGGACAGGACACAGCACCCCGAGGGGACACCTAAGCAAAACACCACAATCAAACAGTTGCTAAATTCTCGTCAAATTTGATTGAATTGGCAATTTAAAAGCACGTATTCGGTTGCAAGGTGGATTTAATTTTTAGACTTTTCACTTCAAATCTGTACTTATTGTCAAGTCCGAGATTTTTTCTTTCTGTTGTTTTTGATCCTGGTACTATATTCCTCTCGCATCCATTAACATTCCGCTTCTTTTTCTTTCTCAGTGTAGGGGCGGATGGTGTTGTACACTGTCGCGGCCGGGTGCCAGGCCACACATCTCTCTATCTCTGTCTCTCTCTATCTCTCTCTTGGCGCCCCCCAAAACATCCAACCGACAAACGTTTCCTGCCGAGGGAAGGCCTTCTTCCCTCGAGGGGGTTTGCGGGGCCGCGCCCGCGACCCGATGCACCAGACGAGGAGCATGGTGTACAGTCACGGCCAGAACGGGGGCCCGACCGGCTATACGGCGAAGCAGCGAAAATAATAATGTGAACATAATAAAATGAACAAGAAAAAAAGAACCTCCGGCGTTCTCTTTGTCAACCCCGACCCCTTTTTCGCTCGCCCAATCTCGCTCGTTTCAGTGGCTCGTTGAAACGATCGTAACGATGCCTCGCCTCGCGTCCAATAAGGACGTGAAGGCCCTCATCATGGGGCATCATGACGACACGGCAAAGAAGGCAGGCAGAGCAGGCAGGAGCTACGGCCTAGTGGGGGGGGGGGAGGGGGAGAAGAGATAGAGAGAAGGGGTGAGAGAGGGAGAGGGAGAGAGGGTGAGAGATTGAGAGAGAGGGTGAGAGATTGAGAGAGCGGGAGAGAGATTGAGAGAGCGGGAGAGAGAGGGAGAGAGAGGGGGAGAGGAGGGAGAGATTGAGAGAGAGGGTGAGAGATTGAGAGAGCGGGAGAGAGATTGAGAGAGCGGGAGAGAGAGGGAGAGAGAGAGGGAGAGAGAGAGGGAGAGAGAGGGGGAGAGGAGGAAGAGAGGGGGAGAGAGGGAGAAAGAGAGAGAGAGGTGACAGAACACGGGCCGGAAGGAGCCATAGGGTAGACGTGAATTCACGTGAGACACGTGATTAATTGGCGTCTCGTCGGGAAGCCGGGTGTGACGCCCCCCACCCCCACCCGCCCCCACCGCCTCTC